AGTCCTGCCCAGGAACTGGACAGGATTTGGCCAAAAGCAAAATAAGTAGTTGCTTATGGGGGAGATAAGCAACTGCTTATTTTGTGCTATGGCGAGAAGTATTTTCTATGCATGTTTTCCCTGGCTTCTGAGATCCCAAACTGTAATTCATATAAAAGTTGAACTATGAATACATGTGGAAACCAGCGTTTTTGGCAGGAATTAATAAGACAATATTCGCCCCATTTAACAAAAATTACATACAACAAAAATCCTAATTCGAAACTAAATGTACTCAAATAAAACTAAAAAAATTCAAATAAAATATAAACTAAGTAAACTAAAATACAATTTTCGCTAAAACTCCGGAATCGCGCAGAAGAAAGCGCGTAAATCGAGTCGTAGGATGAAAAGAACGTTCAAGTGTTGGGACAAGCCCCTACTCAACTTCTCCTGAAGGGGAGGAGCTGGTTAGGCAACACCGAACCCAACTGGCGACAACACAGACGGATTGAGCGAAAAGGGACACTCGCAAGTAAGCAACTTCTGCTTTCGCAAACTAGGCAGCTGTCTAGCTTGGTCCTAGCACTGCCCCTTGATTCGTATAGAGCCCTCATTTCTGGCGAGTTCACAGTAATAATGCAACTTGCGCAAAGGGATACCGTAACAGCTGTCTCGCTGGTCGTAGTTAGGGATGTTGTAGCACTTGAAGTGATACGATACGATTCTAGGACACTACTTGAGAGTCTGTCGTTCAGCAAGGTACGACGTTTCTGGTGGTATCAGAACCAACTAATTGATGTGCCGCCTAACGAATGGTCTCCAGATTTAGCTGGTGAAGTAATAATATTATTGTCGCAGAATACACATGCCCTATGTCAGAACAATAAATTATTACAATATTTTATGAGTGCATGTACGTCTAAAATGCGTCTGAAAATATGTGTTTTATGTCATCTTTCTCTTTAATAGTACTGCAGTAGTCAGGCTGCCCTGCTAGAAGATTACTTCTACATATCCAATTGAATATCCATTGAATCTTTTCCAATAAATGAACTAAAACTGCAGGGATTCTTGCATCCACTGCCATGATACGTCACATCACGTCACCTTCATATGCGCAAGGTGTCTTATCTTCCCACACCAGCCACGGCCGGTTTAAAGCTGGCGCAGCAACCACAGCTGCGGCCGTCCTCGAGTTTCGTCGTGACTCATTTAATATGCTTAAGGCCTTTAGCTCGGGATGGGATTCGGTCTACAGTTGCGAGCCCCTCATCTGTACGAAGGTGAGGTGAAAACTTCTCATACCGTAGCTTTGTTCACCAGGAGGATCTAGGTTTGGGTCCAGACAGCGGCGCAATTTTGACGTCAGTTAAATAGCGGTGAAATCGCCCACGACGCGAAAATTCGAGAGATGGGCTTCTCTTATTGGTTTTCTCCTTGCGTTTCCGTGTTCTCCTCCGACCAATTCCAGGCAAATGTTGGAACAGTACCTTAAAGAGCGGGGCACGATCCTTCCTTCTCCGAATGGCCTATAACTTACTATTCCGCAAAAAGACTCTGGCAGTGCTGCGAGTTGCACACAGATGTAAGGTCAAGACTCGAATGAGGAAGCACCATTGGAAGAACATTGCAGTAGGCGTTTATTGCACCGGGAAACGATTTGCTGTCCGTTGGCCACGCCCCCATCATCGCCTCGGGTTCAATTGGTGTGGCCCCGCCCCCAGCGCGGCGTGGGCGAGCGCTGCCACGTCACGCGTCAGCCGCTGAGAAATAGCGGGGCGGGAAGAGAGTATTGCAGCGGGCACCGGATGGCCCATCATTTTTCAATAAACGATGAACAAAAGGCGCTATTACCAAGGAAATAAGAGCACCCAGGATGATTTCCTGGCTCGGCGTGTTTGCTGTTGTCGGACAATTGAACCTCGCCGCTCGTAAAAGCGTAGAAAATTTAACGAGCCGGATCTCCGTGGAGAGGCTTCGTCGCGACCGGGCACGCACACCGATGTCACGACATGAAGGCTCAACATTCAAGTTCCGGTGCCCTTCAAAAGAAGATAAGACTTGGAAGTTGCGAACAACACTTCCGGTGGTTCCGGTGGTTCTCCATCCAAACGGGCATATTAACTATAAATGAGGTTGAGATACATTGAGCTACAATTAGGCCGTTCACGTAAATTGCATCAGTTGAAATTATGCTACAGCAAAAAATATAATCTTGATACTTTAGAACATTAGAATATTAGAGTAATGGTCGTTCTCATAGTTTTCTATGGAAGCCAATCTTACATAACAAGGGAGAGTGATGAAACGACCTGATTAAATGTATTTCTTAAGAAAGGTTAAACGTTGTATACCTAGAGATTGATAAGAAATGAGGAAGAGTTGCCCAGGACATAAAATTTAAAACCTTAATGAGCCATTAGAAAAACATAAGGAAAACTGGCGAAACTACTGTCAGAAGAAGAGGAAAGAAAGAATTCCTGTAATTATTAAGCATGCTGAGGAAAATGAATGGATAGCCTTGAAGACAATGGACATGACGGAATTGAACGGAGCAGAGGAGCAAGACGGAGATCGCCTAAACCATGAGGAAGAAGATCAAGAAGAAGAAATTAAGCAGTTTATTACAAAAGCAAACTTAATATACCACTCAGTCCTCTGCGATTTCCAGCGCATGGGTGTTGTCGCTCTTGTCGTGTTTCAGTGTTAACTATTTCCGTTAGAAAAGTAATTTCGTCAATATCACACAAGCTGTCACTCAATATGTTTAATGAATTCCTTCTTGTGCATTCATCCAATTCCAATGGATGCGTATGTTTTCCTTTCTCCGCAAAATACTATTGATTTCTCGCAACACGGTTTCGGGAGGTCACGGCCCCCTACAACCTCCCCCCCCCCCGGATCCGCAATTGCTGTCTCCGTGCAGACCTCGCCTTTCTGGTGAGTTCATAGTAATAATGCATGTCGAGCAAAGGGAGACCATGCCGTTGCCGAGAGAGTCAATAACTTTGATAGCTGGTCGTGTTCCTCAGAGGAGCGCTGAAGAAAATTCGAAATTTGTGTGATCGTAGACTCGGAGTCAGCAAAGACCGCGGTGGTGCGTAGAGTGCGGGGCGTTAGAGCGTGATTCACGATTAGACCTTGGTTGGTGGTACATAAACCATAGGTTATTTATTTAATTAATTATTTATTTACCGTCATGAAATATAGTTAAATACTACATGCGACTTACGAGGACGAAACCGGTGATTTGAAAATGTGTGAGCGAAGCGAGGCAAATTGATCGCATCAAATTGGCGATTTTGTTAAACAGCCGGCAGCTAGTATAATATCATTTTCATTTTTACATTACCGCCATCCCAATCCAGCGTAATAAATGTGCGTTCCATTTACGAACAGGTTAACGACACTATTTGTGGCCGCTGCGTCAGTAGTGGACTATTCAAACAAAAAAATAATGATAATATTGGAGGGTGCCTACTTCTTCAAAATTGCAGAATGTGGAACTTATGCCTTCTGGTGGTGAGGATTAGACGAAGACAATTTATTTCTTTTCCTTTGCTTTATATTTAAATAATCCGCTGAAAACTCTTATTAATACTATCAATGTAACATGACCTGGTACTATTTGGACTTTTTTGGTCTGAAGCATGTTCTGAGTGTACAATATTGATTAGCCTAAGTAAAAAATCGCCATAAGTGAGTCGACCCCTCCCAAAAGTTTGCTGTTTTCAAGTGGCCGCTACCGCCAACGAAATTGGGGTTGATAAAAAAATAGAACAAATTAAAAATTGGCCATTTTTAAGCACGGATCTATTCAGAAGGATGTATCTTCTAGCCCTACTGACAGTCACATGACGAATTCAGTTACTGTAGCCCACTCATTCTGAGAAAACCAGAAAACTGTTCTTAACCGACGCCAGCCCCGTTGGTGCGTCCGCCGTGTGCGGACTGGTCGCTCATCCTGTGCGGCGGTTGTGTGCGCAGGGCTGCGGGCGTGCGAGCGCCAGAGCTTCCTGTTCCTGCGCAAGGAGCTGCCCGTGCGCCTGGCCAACATCATGAAGGAGATCGCGCTGCTGCCCGAGCACCTGCTGCGCATGCCGTCCGTGCGCACTGTCAACGACTGGTACGTGCGCTCCTTTCGGGAGATCCTCGAGTTTGAGACGGCCGACGGCTCCCCTGAGACGCTCTCCAGGTGAGTACTGGCGCTACCTTTGCCCGGGCCGGATTTACTTATTATATTATATTATATTATATTATATTATATTATATTATATTATATTATATTATATTATATTATATTATATATTCCAAAAAGTTACAAAATGTGTTTGCGCATGTGAAATAATTGATAACCAAGTAGTATACTGCACTAAAAAGTTTGTTTTTAAAAATTATGTGCAAAAAAAACGTACAGCTCTGGCAACATAAATTAACCGCGCCATCTGCGGCTCCGTTCCGCTTTTCCACGTCTTGGGCAGCCCATGTCATGACGGAACGATGCTGGCGGAGCCTCACAAACAGCCGCAGCCAATCTCAAAGGGAGGAGAAGTGGCGTAGCAAAATTACGTCCGAGAAAATTCAATTCAATTATAATGGTTTTCTTATCGATAAATATATAGTAAACTGGATATTTGATAAAGGTCGTGGATTATTTATAAACAATAATATTGAAAGTAAACGTGTCTGGGAATCTGAATTCTATAAAATGGTTATATTTTATCTCGTATCAACGTAATTTTTCAAACAATGTTAACAGCGGTTAAACGTAAATATCCTTAGATAGTTTAATGTAATTACTTTCATGTTTATGAACGTGTTTCATTCTATGTATTTTTATTTGGAAATATTTCCACATCTGAACAAGCGACGTCCGCCATTTTCTACGACGTCATTTTGCTTGGACATTTCTCCCCCCTTTGAGATTGGCTGCGGCTGTTTGTGAGGCTCCGCATGCAACGTTTCGTCATGACAAGGGCTGCCCAAGCCCCCTCATGGAAAGACTGAACTTGGACGCAGATGGCGCGGTTAATTTTTCTTGCCAGAACTGTACAAAAAGTATTTTTTTTTATTATAATTAGTGTTTTTAGTAAATCAGGATATATTTTTCCTCGAGGGAGGGTAACAATATTTTGTACCTCCTAGTACCTAAATCCGGCCTTGTTATTTGTATTAAGCTATTGGACAGATGTTTTTTATAAATCATGAAACAAACATTTATGTAAAAATTAAATCTTAAGTGTACAGAGAAGTTTCGATCTTCGCTCGACTTCAAAGTCTATTATACAGGAAATCCAATCATAAAATGTTCAAAAACATTGTTTAGTTGAAAGATGAAGTGTATCCGTCATCCCGTACTGGCCGCACGGAAGCAATAGGTGAAGTAATGTTTCCCCAGCAACGAAAACGAATGCATTGGGCGTTGCGTCTATGTTACAAATTCTTCTTGATAATAAGTGTAAAAACACGTACCGCAATGGGTACGGCAGCTACATTACATTTTCCATTACGGTCAAAGTGAGGCATTTGTCAGCACGGCCATTCAAGTTAATGGAACAGGATTATCTGAGTAGTTGAGATGATATTGCTATAGTGTGGCGGATGCACTTAACTCCTGAACTAAACAATGTTTATAATATCGAAACCGACAACCACCATTACCGCTAGTATTGGTCCTACTGGTAGTGATATTACGTGTGCGAGTGAATCAGAAAAATATGTGAAATGTGACAGACTTCTCGAATCAGTTTATACAAATTTTGTGTAAGCTATGAGAACTTGTGCGGTATTGCAGTATCACTTTAATATTCAATTCATTTTTCATCATCAGTTCTAACTGCATGTGGGAAGTCAGAGGTTGGCGGTTACACAGGCAGGCACTACCGCTACTACTCGTTGACTGGGCGTCGGGGTGCGCAGGTTCTGCCAGGCGCTGGTGAAGATCCGCAACCGGCACTCGGACGTGGTGCAGACGATGGCGCAGGGCGTGCTGGAGCTGAAGCAGAGCGAGACGGAGGTGGCGGCGGCCACGGAGCACAGCGTGCAGTACTTCCTCGACCGCTTCTACATGTCGCGCATCTCCATCCGCATGCTCATCAACCAGCACAGTGAGTGACGCCTGCCATTCATGTCTCGTTCATTCGCCATTTGAAGCGGCCTCCACTTTCTTTACTCTTAATATTACGGAAGGTTGAGGTTTCTCGGTCTAGCTACATAGAACACGGTTCAATACTTTGGAACTAAAGATCCACGGTAACCAATGAGCAATGGTTATGACACGGGTCTACCATAATATACTTTTCGTTTACAAAATTAGTAGCACGTTCGCAGGTTGTAACTTGTTGTACTCGCTTTATACCAGTACATAAATGGCTACTTTAAAAAGTAAGTGTACAAAAAACGTATATGTATCTCGGCCGAAAAGTGACTGTTTTGGACTCTGCCATTTGCCAATCAAGGCGGAGCAGAGCGGAACCGAGTTCAGTAATCACCTCGTCCAAAAATCTTCACATTCCGGCCTTGATAAACAAACGACTATTTTATTACAAATTATTTTCTTTTACTGGAGTAGTGGAAAAACAGTGCGATTCGAGGGGAGAAGGGGTTCTTACAATTGTGACGAAAGCGAAGAGGGCGGGAGGTTGATGAAAAATAAGTTCTCTCAATGTTTCTTCGTTTTAGTAACGTATTAAATTACACATTATTGATATTAAAATATAAATTTAAATTTGTTTTTAATAATAATAATAATAATAATAATAATAATAATAATAATAATGTCACACTAGAAAGGCCCAATTTTTAAAAGATAACTTGTTTTTAAGTCAAATGAAGTCAAGGTGTTTCAATGTAACTGAGGATGGGGGTGTTGATGTGAAACGTTCATGGCGGACGTGTGTGTGTGTTTTGTAAATAAATAAATAAAAATTAACAATATTACGACAGAAAATGTAGACGGCTCATAGTCATCAGTAAAGGCCCATTCACAATGCAAACGTAAACATAAGCATAACGCATAATCGTAAACATTAACATAAGAGATAGACTGAAGTATTCACAATGTCTGACATAAACGTAAGAAAATAAGAGTTTCATTGGCTGTGAATCATTCTAGTTTACTATTTGTTGGCTGTGAGATTCGATTTCGAGGTATCGAATGTGTCCATGGCGCATATGGCGTTAGTTCTTGTATCGACTTCGCTCCAATTTCGATTCTCGATTTTGAGTTACCGTTCTGTGATTGGTTCGTTTCTTATGTCCTACTTAAGCACAAGCACAGAAGCTTGAAGCTTCCAAGATTTTAAGTTAACGTCTTACGTGTTATGCTTACGCGAACGCACTGTGAATGAGTCCGCGTATGGGCGTAGTTCTAGCTTTTATGTTAACGCCATGCTTATGTTTATGTTTGCATTGTGAATGGGCCTTTACTGGTGACCATGAGCAGTCTACATTTTCTGTCGTAATATTGTTATTTTTTGTTCATTTATTTATTTATAAAACAAACGCACCCACCCGCCATGAACGTGTCACATCAACACCCCATCCTCCCCTTCGCATTGTGAATGGGCCTTCAGGCTCTGTACTCCCTGTCCATCAGAGCTACTACCCTCAATACTATGTCATCGCTTCTCTTCCCTCCGCGCTCACGCGCCGAGTTGCATCTTGGACGGGATACCGTCGGTTTCCCGGAACGCGGGCGATCGCAAGGGGTGCGCAGAAATGACGGGGGGAGGGGCGAGCGACGCGAGAGTGAAAAGGGAAAACTCCCTCCAAAATGACCTCGAACCGCACTCATTTTCCGTCGTGTGCGAGACGAGCATGGCTAAGAGCGGCCGTGGCCGGGGGTTGCGCAGCGCTGCTGTTCGGCGGCGCGCTCGAGGGCCCCGCCAGCGGCCGCCACGTGGGCTGCATCGACCCGCAGTGCGACCTGGCCGCCGTCATCGGCGACGCCTACGAGAACGCGCGCTTCCTCTGCGACCAGTACTACCTCACGTCGCCCGAGCTGCGCGTGCGCCAGCACAACGGTGAGCACGCCCACACTTGGTGGCACCCACCGGCGGATCCAGCAAGGTCTAGACTTTCGTTCACCTTCCTTTATTTGGCAAAATCGATTTAAATATTAATTTGCGTTTCAAATATGTAAATATTTAAATAATAATATTGTTTAGTATCGTATCTACAATACATAAATAATATACCATATAATAATAAATATGTTTATTATTTAACAAAAATTTACGTTATCTCCCCCCCCCCCCCC